TTGCTACAATGCCACATACATAAATACATATCTATGCATTTTCGGCTATTTGACGTATGGATTTTACGTTGTTGCCACCGTGCCGATTGGTATTACTGCTGTGTTGTTTTCTCTATAGCTGTTGCTGCTGCTGTCACTCTTACTGCTGCTGCTAGCTGGCATCGCAAACCACCAAAAATCGGGAAAACGGTTTCATATTCAGCTGCCGTACGCGATGCGCCGATTCCCGACTCTTGTCAGCCAGCACCTTCTCTCCAATGCAATCTTCCTTTTAACTTCGCTGCATCCTCAGTGTTACGCAATGCTGTTGTGTCGCTGCACTTTGTCGCCGACTTTTAGTTGTGTAGTTTAGATGGGTTTAGCCAAATATATTAGGTGAATACTGCAGCGACGAAAGCTACAACTTGTGCGAAAATCGATTGCATATATGTATGCAATGTAGCATCGAAATTGTAGAATTGTATCATGATTTTTAAAATTTGCTTGGGCACTCACTTCCTGCGTTACGGACATTCTACGCGTATACACTTTGTTCAGTACGAAAGTAGGATTTGGATCATAAAATGTATTTAGCTAAGTTTAGCCGCCATTGTCACCCATTAAACACAATTAAAATTATTTTCGTAAATACGAAAAATGACACTGAAGATGGCACAACGCCGAAACCGGTTTGTTTCCAAACCAAATGTGACAAGAGATGACGGAAAATCGTTCCACAATACAACATACATAGCATCTATAGCTAAGTTAGGGCGCCTAAATGTTGGCCTTCGGACGTTCTTACTACGTACATACATATGTACGTTTGTTTAATATTTGCAATATTTTTCAAGTTAAAATTTTTTTGTTATTTTCTTTTATAAAAATATGGTTCATGCTTTAATCGAAGCTACGTAAGTGAAGCTTTCAAACTTTATAGAACTTACAAAATTTCGTCTAAATTTTGAACATTTTAATCAGAATTTTTGGAAAAATTTTGAGTACGCAGATAGATTGGTTTTTAAATTCTAGTAAAACAAGCGCAAGTTAAAAAAAATATATATGTATTTATTTTCCTACCTTTTCAAATTTAAATATGTATTTCAATACAATGCACCCTGAAGGGTATGTAAATTCCCAGCAGTTGCTAACACCCTATATATCTGTCTTCATATGGAAAAGTAGCTTATTTCGAAAGGCTGGCTTTAGTATAATGCGGCATTCCCTATATTCTTTAAACGATTTTTGATGAGACTTAATAAGAATATTGACTTGCTAGTATCGGAACTACTTTTTGCACGTTTATTTGCCAAAAGTTCTTCAACGGCTCAGTGCCAGTGAGTAAGCTACTTTTCCATACGAACACAGATATATATGAGCAAATATCACGAGTCGTTTTTTTTTTTTAGTGCCATTCCCTTCTTCGGCAGAAAAAAAACGCTAGGACACTCTTCGTTCCAGAAACAAGCACAATAGAAAATAAATTAAGTATTTGAACAATTTTAGCCTTAAAACGTTTATTGAGGCGAAAAGGTACTGAAATTACTAATTTTTTCACTGCCACTCGAAAAAATCATAATTATTGTTTTTTAATAACTTTGGAAGTTTTCAAATAGAATGTTCATATTAGAACCAATGGACGACGTTGGCATATCTGTGAAGTTTCAAGAGTGTAAGAGTGTTAGATGACTGCATATGGTGCTACGGGACGTATACGTTATATACGCAAGTACGGGTATATGAGCATGAGTGGTTATTTTCACTTTTTTGGTACATAAATATTTTTAAAGCTTTCATTTAAATACAATTTCGCGTTGGAATCTGGTTATTTATACACAACTGAAGGCATTGAAGGCATACATACATACTTACATGCGTAATTGTTTGATTTTATTTAAAAATGTATTTAAGTATATCTACATATTTCAATTTTCTTTTCAAGATTTGAATGTTTATTAGCCTGTTTCATGACGTGCCATCAAATTGAATTTTCTAGCACAATTTACTGCATTTCCTTGCCTATATTCGATCATTATTACAATAATTTTCTGCTTACTCAGCCATTTACATACTTATATGTACAAGTAAATAAATGGAATACTATTTTATTTATTTTCGACATGTTTTTATTATCATTTTGTTTTTATCCAACAAATTCGAATGGCTTAGCGTCAGCACTATAGAGTAAAACGCGATTTTGCAATGACGCAAATTATCGCATTTGTTTGTATGTGTGTATGTATTGACTGCTGTTTACGTACATACATATGAAGGTGAAATATGTATTAGTTCGCACTTATAAAAATTCTTTGAAGTTGACATTGGCAATATGATAACACAGGCCAACCAAAATGGATGACAAAATTTGGTACGCCAAATGTTAAAGTCACTTTTGATCGACTTTTTTATGCTGATTACGAATTCGTAATCGTATAAAGTTTTCATTAGCTCTAGATTTGGAGAAAAACGAGGTCAAAGTTTCAAAAAAACGCGTTTTTGCAATATTTGAGAAGCTTTGGCAAAAAAGCAAATCGTGATAGGACCTTCCACTTAGGCTCAAAATAAAGTTAGAATTCTCGACAGCATCCCTGCACCTTGATCTGATGCTCACTTATTATTGTTAGGGCCATTGCATTGAAAAGAGGAAACGACATAAATATAAATATGCCCTAATTATCTCTATTTCAGTAGTAACCTCTTTTCAAATGACTACATTTCATTAATCTGTTGAAAAAAATTAAAAAAAAAAATTAAAAGAAGTTGTGATTTTTGTCATTCTGGATTAAAATGTCCCACCAGTCACAATGGAGTGGTCCATTAGTCGTTTATTGAACAACAAAAACTGATTTTGGAAATTTTTTTATTTTTTTTTTCAATAGCACAATATTCAAGAATTTTTTTTATTGATAAACGGTTCGGGAATTAAAAAAAAAAACTGAATTTTTGTTTTAGACAATAATAATCAAAAAAAAAATATATATAAAGACATGAATAATTTGTGTTATATTTAAGAAAAGAAAAAAATTAGAATTTTTTTTTTATTAAAAACTGTTTTTATTCAGTAACAACCCAAAAGATGTATATAAAAACATGAATAATTTATGTCGTACGCTATATCTACTTTGTAAAAAAATTGTAAGATGGTAAACAAACACGGTGTTACCATATTTAAGAAAAGAAAAAAAGTAAGAATTTTTTTTTTATTAAAAACTGTTCGTAACAAATATTAAACTTTGGTGTTGCCATATTTAAGAAAAGAAAAAAAGTAGGAATTTTTTTATTAAAAATTGTTCGAAACAAATGTTAAACTTTTATAAAAGGTACTTCGGTTTTCGGTTGGGATCAAACATATGTGGAAATTTTCGGTTGGTTAATGGTTGAGTTAATTGGTAGGAAAAAGTGGTTAATCCGGTTCGCGTCCCCTTTTTTGATCTTTTGAAAATAGTGGACGAGCGTGTACATTAGGTGAAGTGAGGCGAGTTAAGGTGAGATAAGAGGAGGTAAGTTAATTTGAAGTGATGTGAGGTGAGTTCAGGTGATATGAGGTAAAAACGATTGTGTTTAAGTGAGGTGGGCAACATAACAAAACCTAATTTTCAGTTTTATTTTTATCTTTGTCTCCTAATAATTTTATCTATCCCTATCTCTATCTCTATACCTATATCTATCTTTATATTTATCTTTACATTCATGTCCCCTGTCTTTATATGTTTTTATCATTATCATCTTTCTATATCTATATCTTTATCTTTATCTTTATCTTTATCTTTATCTTTATCTTTATCTTTATCTTTATCTTTATCTTTATCTTTATCTTTATCTTTATCTTTATATTTAAGTGGTATTTGCTGAAGGACGTTGGTTATATCTAATTTTAATGGTCTTGGAAATGGAGAAGTAATTTTTATCGAATACTTTAAGCAATACCAGGGTGGCCCAAAAAACAGTAAAGTCGGAATTTTAATGCTCTCACCCCCTGGGATTGTTCTGTATCATCTTAGCTTAGCGAATCAGCTCACAAATAAATATTATTATAGGTTTCACTTCCGTAGCGTGGCCCAGGCTGAATTATTCTTCTTGTTTCTTTTCTTTGAGTATATTTTTTCTGATGTAATAAAATTTCCATTACGTATTTTACATTTTTCGCCGACACCTTTAACTGAAGATTGGTCGGTTACTCGGTTGATGTACAGACGTTCCTTTTTTGTTTGCAAAATTGCACGGTTTCGTTTCTTTCATTTTTTCATTAGTTTTGTTTGTTTGTTATAATTTTAAATTCATTGCTGTTATTGTAGTACGTGAACTTTTTTTGTTTGCATTTATGCAACTTTCACCCACACAATATTGCCATCATCGTTGGGTGCTTACTTGAATAAATATATGTACATACATTTATACATTTTTATGAATTTTTAAAGTTGCTCGGTACTTACATACGTACATACATACATACTTACATACATAAGTAGCTGAGATGCACATGCGCTGATATAAATCTATGAACTTTTCTCTACATCAAAATTAATTTTTTTTTGACACTTCTGCTATTTATTAATTTTTTCATTTTTGGTACTGTTTAAAACAAAGTGCTTAGGTGTGAAATTTCTCAAACTATTTGAAGCCAAGTATGGATGGAAATTTTCTATTTAATGTATATCTTAAATGAAAATAAATCCACAGTAAATTTGAAAGTGGCCTTCTTCCTTTGTAAAGTTTACTGAAAATTATCCAACATTGGTATGGGGAAACTTTTTCCATACAAGCACTTTTTATTTATGCAATTCTGCAGTCAGAGGTATCAGTTTAACCTAGGTTAGCACATACATATGTATGTACACTCATAGATACATATTTGTATATGCACATTTACACTTGTGAACATAATAATAGAAATATAGCTACATACATTAATCGCATGCAATTATATACATACATATTTTACATAGGTACATACATACATATGTATGCGTGTTTATAAATATGTTCCTAAGTATGTAAGTATGTATGTGCATTTTGTCAGTAAAAATTTTATGTCCGCTTTGGTTCAGTTCAGTTTGCCTCGTTGCTCGTTTTGTATGCTACACGACAGCTGTTGGAAAGTTCAATTACTTTTCTAGCATCATCATCAGCAGCAGTAGCAGCAGCAGCAGCCACAACAACAACATTCATACATAATCGCAGTTCGAGGCATAGCACGGCACAGCATCCAGCACTCAACAACCATATTCCAGCCTTCTGTCTCAAACTTCCAATTCCCACTTCAAGTCCAACAAAAAATTTTCTCCTCAGCTTCAGCCTCACAACCCACTCCACAATCGAATGCTTTCGCGTGCGTCCACCAACTCAACCTAGCTAGTAGCTACCAATTTTTGCGCGGAGACTGGTTGTGGGCCGCCTGCCCTGGCATGTTGCTCTCAACACAATCTTCTGTACTCATATTATTATTTTTGTTGTTGTTGATGCTACCATTTGTGCTACTTACTACTTACATACTTCTTCACCTTTTCGGGAAAAATGTTTTCTAGAATATTCCAGCTTTTGCATACATATCATCGAGAATGGACAGTAGGTGTAGAATGAGGAAAGCAGCAGCGAAAATAAACTCATGCTCAACAATAACGCATCGGACCAATAATAAAAGCGTTTTGTATTTTTTTAAATACATACATATTTACATACTTATATGTACCATGTTGGACTTTGGTTAGTATTGCTTTTATCCAAATGTATGCTGATTTATGTTGCTGTAGATTTAGTAAAGTAATTTTTTTTTTTTACTTTCCCTTTTTTGTTGATTTACTGAATTATCTGTATCCCTTTAACATGGGTTCGAAGTATTCAAAAAAAAAAAATTTTTTCTAATGCTGAATTTCCACTGGACATTAAATTTGTGCATTAAAAAAACCGATGTCATTAGGTTAAAAATGAAAGTAATTGTGGGAGTTCACACCTGTCTGCTTAAGTGGTTTTATTTTTTATTCAGCTTACAGCAATAAAATACACTACGCGGAATAAACATTAAATTTGTTTCCAACTGCAGTTTTTTTAATGTAAAAAATGTATCGTCATTTTTGTAATTTCAATGCCTAGTGGAAATTAGGTATAAAGCAGGGATCTCACGATTTTTATATTTGTACAGATGTGTACATTTTCACCGATACAGAGTGCTGTTGTTTGGAAATTTTGTTATAGAGATTAACTCATTCTCGATATAAATTTTTAAACAACTCTGTAACTGCCAAATGTACAAATCGTATGTTCCCCGCTTAAGGCTAAATTTCCAACAGGCATTAAAATAAAAAAAGTCTGCCATTTAAAAACTGCCAAACTAAATGACTACTTTTACAAAAGTAATGCCGAATTTCCACTAGGTATTGAAGTGACGAAAAATGTGTACCATTTTAATTTTATCATTTAATGCTCAGTGGAAATCTGGTATAACATACCTATTTATTCTGAAAATTTCCAACTATTTTATTAACAAAAATTCCCGTTTCAATTTTATTTGCCGGTTACAAAATTTAAGTTTAATGCCACGGTAATATAAATTACGAATAGATCTAAACTCTAGAACTCAGAACATTTCAGAAAACTAAATGGACAACTTAAAGAATCACAACTGGAATTTTACTCGCTTCAGATATCTTGGATGGTGGATGAAGTGGAAGTTGTGAAAAAAAACTTTAGTGTTTTACAGACAAGCCATTTGATGACTGTGACAGTCTTTCTCTCCGGCGATGAAAGTGGAAAGGAGCGAGATATGCGTGAATTATTGAAAGGATCCCCAGAACAGTCCTTACATCGGCATTAAAACTTAGTATACAGCTTTCAGGAAAAATCTGAAGAAATATATTTCATTATTTCTAAGGTGTAAACGGATTCAAGAAATTTTTTTTCCTTTTTTGAACGTCATTTAGATATATGAGTTTTCGTTTTTCTTGAGAGCTTTTACATACAATGCTAATAGTATTAAATAGGGAGATTAAAGTAAATACTTTGCTTCTCTGTTTCAATGTAATCCTTTCCTCATTTTAAAGCCACTGTGCTAATTCAAGTGAATCAAAATATAAGCAGATTTTTCGTAAAAAGCTAGATAAAAATCGAAGTAGAGCAAGTACTTTATTCTTTTTTTTTGTCAATATTATTGTGGCGTAATTTATTCTTTTTCACCACTTTTCTTCAAAATCGATAATTTTTTAAAATGAAACTGAAACGAAACTTCTTCGATGTCTTAAAGTAAAGACATTGGCCGGACCCTTGGAAAAAAGATAATGTGCGCCTATTCAAGCGAGTATATTAAAGCTTTTGATGAAATTAGAACCCTATAGTGAAATACTTTTGCTTTGTTTTTTTCTTTGTAAATCTCTTTACTTAAAATTTTGTTCTTTTTCATTTCATTTCGTGTTCTCTTTTGTTATTTTTATTTATTTAACTTTTTTATGTTTAAATTGCTATTGATTTTTATAATTTTTTTGTGTTTTATTTAATTGTATTTTATTTTTTACAAGCTATGCACTCTTTTCCATATAAAAAATTCCTTTTTATGGACGCAAAAAAATATTAAAAATCAATGCCATTTTTTAGCAACTTAAAACTTGCACTTTATTATACTAGAATTTAATAAGCTATAAAACTGCAAGCCAAAAATTATTCTAAAAAATAAAATTAAAAGTCATGGAATTGAATTGAAAAATTTTTGGAATTTTTATAGTTTGTTTACAAAGTCAGCAATTTAGCTTGTTTTTAATTAAATTGTTTTTAAATTACTTACTTAATAATTTTGTTTTAAATTTTGTTTATTTTTTATTATTGTGTTGTTCATTTTTTTTTTGTTTATTTTTTATTTTTTTTTATATTTTTGTTTATTTTTTTGTTAATGTTTTTTAATGATTATTTGACGAAGTTTCTGATGCTGTATTCGTTTTCAAACTTATTCGTCAATAATGTATACACAGAAGTACTTACATATGTATGAATATACAGAAGGTGTTTCACAGGGTGATCCAAAACTCCGTACAAATATTTGGCATACGTATTCCTTGGACCAAAACAAAAAAAAAAAAATTATAATAATTGGGACATTTTTTTCCCCAGGGCTTGTATACTGAGTTACGGCGAGTATATATTTGATTTCCCCGCAAAAACATTTGTACGCAGTTTAGGATTACCCTGTATATAGTACGTACACACATATTTACATATTTATATGACTCGGTACTTCATTTTGTTTTCTGCAGATTTGGTGTCTTTGTTTAGTGCACATCTTCTTTTTTAACCTGCACTAAAGCTGCAAAAAATAAAAATCGATTATTCGTGTATCTTTTCACTTTGTCTTTTCCATGCTCTTCATTTGTACATACTTATGTGTGGGTTTGTATGTACATAAGTGTATTTTGCGCATAAAAATTTGTATTTATGTACATACATGCATACATATGCACATACAAACGTACTGACTGATGCGACTGTGATGTTGGCATAATGTGCCCAAACTCACCTCAGTAAATTATAAATATGTTGTAGGTACATATGTACATATTTATGTTTGTAAATACATACATTTATTTTAGTGCCTCTACACACCTTTCTCTCCCCCTCACTATTGCCTATTTTGCTTTGCTCCCATTCCAATATCACACATAAATACATACACGTATATAATAAAATGTGGTGAATACTTATAAACATATAGAAATACATACATACAAATATACATCTGCATGTACATTCTTACAAACACGAAGTGATATCATTGCCTTTGTTTAAATTGCAAACTATACAAATTAGCAATGAAAATAAGACCATATGTATGTACATACATATGTACCTACAAGCACCCGTCCGATCTTCAACGGAATATCGTCAGTCAGCTCAACAGACTCTATCGCTTCTCTATTGTCACATTTTACAGTGTTTATAACACTTTCGATATTGTACAAATATGTATGTACTATATATGTATATGTATGTATACAATATAGTATAATTTATTGTTGCTCTTCACTTCTTATTTCTAAATTTTGGTTAATTCTTCAAAATTCGCATTCATTTCAGTATCTAAAATTATCAAATTGCTCGTTTAATAAACAAATTTATGCGCATATTTGTACTTGTATGCATATATATATATTACCCAATGTACGCATGTATATGATCACATAGTATACAAAATACAAACATTTTGCATACATAAATACGTTTTGCACACTTCCACTACCTATCGATCATCTATTTGATTCTGTTCGCCTGCTTCTGATTCTAACAGCCAAGTTTCTAATCGCAACAAATTGTGCCTGCCATCAAAACAAAGAGAATTCGGTCCTAAATATAGCAGCGACGAGAAGTAAATTCAGTAAATACCATCTCTAGGTATAGAATAATACAAAATTAGTGTTGTATAAACGTACTTACTTGCACACAATGCATATGAATGCACATTAGGGTGGTGCAAAATAAGTAAAGTCGGAATTTTAATGCTCTCACCGCCTAGGATTGTTCTATGGTTAGGCTAGGTTAGGTTAGGTTGGCATGGCCGCCAGGCCCAGAGGATTGTTCTATATCGAAAACCACTGTACCCATATATTTTTTTTTTTTAATTTAAAAAAATATTTAGATGTCGCTCAAGGCGCTCAGTTTTCCATGTATTTTATATGGGGGAAAACAAGTTTTTCGATCGGAAAACTATGGCTCTCTTCACGTGACTTCTAATAACAATATTCAACTCTTTATTTAACCATTTTTTAGTACTAAAGATTTTTTATTTATCTCCCTATTTCGTTTTCTGGCATTTTATAGGGGTTTTTGCGGACCTATAAAATATTGTACCGATGAGAAAATTGGGTATTATTATTGGGAATCTCCTGAAGAGAAACAGAGTTTTCCGGTCGAAA